ATGATAGTCATAACAACGAAGTGCCTGCGTCTCTCTGCGGTACTCCTTTATGACAAAGGAAAAAACATGATAATAGACAGACAGCGTTCTAGCGTTCTTTCCGACTATTCAGACAGCGACTCCGTCAGGATCCGACATGAAGATATTACGATAAAGCGCTGTAACTACCTGGTTTGATACCAATAACGATGTTGAGCCAATCGGCTGGTCAAGACGACAGAAGCACGTGCAGATACGAACATGCAGACGTCGGATTCGGGAACCCAGTGTATTCGTTGATCCGGATTTGCGAATTGGGCATGTAATTCGAAATAAAGTCACACGATGGGCTTTCAAGAACGCTGAGACATCGCGTACAGGGCCAAGATATATGGTAGGAGCGTAAATGAAATGTTGTTACAAAGGTTGTGATGCTCTTAGAGCTTGTTCTTACATTATAACACACATTAGGTCTCACACTGCCAATAAACTTCACCCGTCTATATTAGTGAAATGAGTGCCACATATCAAAGTAATGTTCGACTATTAGTGCATTGATTACGTAGTACGAGTAAATACGTAGTTGACGTCAGTATCAGCGCTATTGTCGCCAACGAGATGTCGCGGTCAGTTGATTTTGTCTTCAATAACCTTTCGAAAGCCTGCCCAAACAAACGAAGCTGTTTTGCATCGACGATTATCTCTACATTGCTGAGTCCGGTATCATTTCAGGGTGCACATCTGGACGAAACTTAATACCTTTGGCCTAAATGCCCAATGGGTAACAGCTGCAGCTGGTAGTTATAGCAATGCTGGCAGTAGGCATTTTGTAGGCTTACCCCAGTAAGTCGATGCAAACAGCAGATTAACGAAGAAAATAGTGAACGGACTAGACATATTGGTACTGGCTCGGGCTTGTTTTTTCGCTTTACCTGTATTCTTTTCCTATTTCGTCTTTAACAGGTCTTTGACAGATTTCAAGTCATGTGCGTTATGCCTTGCCCTTTCATTATCGTATTTCGAGTTTAATGTTATCATTATTATAATTGTATCATTTTTCGGTGCACTTAACAACTGCCATCACATTACCCGCTGGGTACGTACAATGTATGTGTGTCTGTGCTGTGCAATAAATCGATTAGCTTATATATGTTTATTATCATTTTTCTTTATTTTTTTTTTCTTATTAATAGCCTTTTTTGAATTGCTTGGTGTAGTTTGTCATAGATGTTTATCTGTGTGTCTGTGGCTGCGTGGGTATGCGTGGGGGTGTGTGTGGCGTGTGTGTGTGTGTGAGAGTTGGTCATGTGTTTCGTCATTCTTTGTCTTCCCCTTTCGATTTTTCCTTAATTAATTAGAGTAATTGAGGAAGCAGTGTGCTGAAAAAATGTGCTTATTTTATATCGACCCTTTTTTTACCCTGGTGCCATGTGATCCATTGAACAACTGCAGGGTTGGTCTGTCTGCACAGATTTTTGTTTTTTTTTCGGGGCTTCATTGCGTTGTAGTTGTTGCTTTCAAGACACCTAGATTAGATATAGAATAGAACAGTGTAGAGAAGAAGAGATAACAAAATTTATGGCGCATATGGTGTTGTCGATTCGTCCTTTCCATTTTCTCCTTAGTTATTTGGCGCCAGCTCTCGATAGCTTTCTTTCGTTTTTGCTTATTGCCATAGTCGCGTGCTCAGATATACGGATGGAATTGCGATGTTTTTTGTCGACTTGTGAGATACATGTGCAACAGTTAGCTATGTCATGTGTCGCAACGTGTAAAGGTTGACAATATCTACGTACATGCACGTTAGCAAAGCGGGTCTCGCCAAGGATATGCACTAATACATCATTTGCCCTTTTCCGTGGTTCTGGAGCCTCCATACCGACAAACACGAAAGTAGAAAATATAAAATCATTGTTGAATTGACATTTTCTAAAGTGCCCCCAGCTAGTAAATACTAGCCGAAGACAGGCGACTGTGTTTATCGCCATATGCTGCTGTTGTTGTTGTTGTTGATGATGATGATGATGATAATAATAATCATCATTATCATCATTATTGTTTAAATAAGTGCTCGGGCAATGCGTACAATGAAGTCACGAAGACCAAATCGAAACAACTCGATGTGTTTAGTTGTACCATGCGTAAGTCATGTGGTCACGACAGATCACAGTTCGACTAGTTGCCAATGACGCAAGCAAGGGGAGCGGAACATAATACGGCTCTAGTATCTTCTCTTAGGTCCACTATGATGGCCTCGGCGTCGTGATCCTATTCCTGGGACTCTGCAAAATTTAAAACCTCCAGCATGTCTCTCTCCTTTGTCGAGACATTTATCATTATGGTCACAGACGGAGTAGCGAACGTGGCTATGGTCGTGCAGGATAGTCGTAGTCATAGTGGTTCAACGTAAGAGGAAAATTGTTATTTACTTTGGTGTAATATAGGAACGTAGCATGTAATTTAATTAGTACAATTTCAATGTGTTTTTTTTTTTTCGTTCTTTTGCATAGGTCTGGTGTCATTCAGCGAACAGTGTGACTGGCCCGTTTTGCACCGGCGGACTAGGGCTCATCGACTTCGAAGAAGGGATTATTGCCCTACACTCTGCCCTTCTTGGGCAGACAGATAATCTAACCCGGGAGGCAATGACTTATATAGCACTATTAGTGGGTGCTTTCTGTTTGCGTGAAATAGAAGCAGATTTTCTTCTATCTGATGATGTGTAGAGACAGATAGAAACGGTTTCCCTTGGCGGTGCTCGCAACAACAATTGTAGAATATACTGTGTTATCATTATTTATATCTTTTGCTTGTTATCGTGCGGCATCGTAATACAGTTATCTTAGTCGTTATAGGTATTATTCATTGTTATCAATAATCTTAGCATTACTAATATTAGTATCACGTCAATGCAAATACGTGGAAAACGTTTCTCCTGCGTTGATCTCCGTGTCCGTGTGCGGGTGTATATGTTTCTTTTTTGTGTGATTCGAGTAGGCGCTCACTCCTCGTGTTTGATGATAACATCGATTCACTTCATTTGTCTTCGTGTACATAGAAGTGTTCCGTATAGATAAACGCCAGCTTGACACTTTCGTGCTTATAATTGAGTAAAGATTCAATGTTGAACTGCTGAGCTTGTCCTGTCAACTGAAGTAGTTGCTTTGTTTTTATCAATGCCTCTCCCTGTTCAGTAGCTGATAAAGTTGTTTGCGAAACCAACAATTGTTATTGGGGGTAGAAGGTTAAGCCCTGTTTAAGGAAGGCCTTGGTTTAGATTAGGCGCCTCGGATCTGATATATATTTCATTTCTATTGTTGCTGTAAGGGGCATTTCCGCTATTAATTGATTGTGTTTATTTTAATCTCGGTCGCAGTTGATTCTCTGTTTTCGTTGATCGTGCTCTCATGGTATGTGTGTGTGTCATCCTACTTGATGCCTTCGTTTGACCTGTTTAGTATTGGCTCGTGTTTTTTTTTCGTGTTTTCGTGTGGTAAATGAAGGCGACACTGTGATTGAGTGACGCTTGAGTGTTGATTTGATTGCTTGTTGTCTCAGAAAGGCTGCTCTGGCTGTGGGCCACTGGCTATATCGTCACCTTTAACAGTTATTGACTACGAATGTCATATTGTTTTTATTAGTTTCATTATTGTTACTAATGGTAGCAATCGCTGACTAGTTCCTGTTGCTGTTGTTATTGAAATCATCGAGTCTCGGTCGTATCTATTTTTAGCTTGAGTCGCGACACCGCTACCGCTCCGACAGAGAGTCGTCAACTAAAAAAGCTGAAAGAGTCCTCACCTGGAGCTCACGCTCCAACGCCGGATTGACCAGATAGTTAAATGCGCGTTGATTTTTAGTCCGACAGGCTTCTACCAGTTTACAAGTAATCACGGGTAGCTTTACACACAAATTTGAACGAATCGTATTTCGTCTATTGATCGTAAAGTTCGCTATTTTGGGCTGATCTGGAACAGGTCTCGAGCGGTAGGATGTCCTTCATGTGTTCTATGCCCTCGAAAATCAGTAGATATATATATATATATATATATATATATTTCTCTCTCTTTGCTCTACTTATGTGTACTTGTTTCGTTCAGTGATCTTGCCTGTTATATTTTTCCCCATTTCATCCTGTTTCCGTTTGACGTTATCTAACGGTGGTTGGTTCTAGTTTCCGTAGATAACCATCGATATTGACCAATTGAACAAACACTAATAATATTGTTAGTCGAATTGATGAGAGCTATAGGAGGCGTACATTTTAAATACTGCTACCCCTTCCCTTTCCCCCCCCATTTCAATTCATATAGCCGGCACTCCACAGGGTTCATCTCCGTAATAACATTATGTTTGACATTTGTATCATGTCATAATAATCGTTTTGCAAATAAGTTATTACAGTTATTCTTACTTTTATCATGCAACTTGGTTCGTCATTCATTGATCCATACTATGAATAGTAGTATAAATACGCGTAAAAATCATCATTACGCATTGAGTAGTATTTTTCTTTGGCATTTGCTATGAGTGAAGAATCACAATCAATATATACGATATATATATATATATATATACTATACGTTAGTCATATGTATAATGTTTATGTATGTGTGTATAGCGTGTTACTATAATTAAGATTATCGTACACGTTTTTATCTATATATATATATATATAGTATAGCGTATTAGCATATCGTTATTATGATGGTAAATATTATGATCATCATTGCTATTGTTATCATTCATGTTGTTATTACTATTGTTTTTAGTATATTGGGAGCGTATGAAAAAGTCGCTTATGTCTCTCAGCTTTCGTATACTATTCACAGATTATATAACAACAACAACAACAACACACTATGCTTTTCTCTCCGACGTTTCACCTTCATGTGTGCAACTATCGTATGTGGACGCCCCCCCCCCCCCCCCCGCGCGGTCCATCGTCCACCAGTTGAAGTCACCTCGCTTAACCTTATCATCAGTTAGCTCCCGGCCCCCCCCCCCCGTGTCCACTCCCGTCTGCTCGGTGTCATTAAACGGGGGCTGATCAGGTTCAGCCTCTGCCACCTACTGCGGGTCGGCGGACTGATAGGTGTTTGGCATCGAGCCCTGTTCCATGTGGTCATATGAGGTGCGGTAAATTTGCGGGTTCTGGACATTGTTGTCGACGCGCTGCGGTCAGCTCGAAGCTGTTTTGTCGTTCTAGTGATGCTGGGCATATTCTAATAGGGCAATGTTAACTGCTACTAAAGTGCCAGTGTGACACAATGGTCGTTCGTAGGTCGCCGTCGACCGTCGCCTCCAGTGTGAACGCACACTAAAATAGTATAGTTTGCTCTTAACGACCTTAGCTCCGCTGCGCGTATTTGTATCGATTTTTTCTTTAATTGGCGTTACTTCTGTTATTATTATCGCTAGATTATAATAATGGATGGTAATCGTAGTTGTTTTGACAGGCCATGTAGTTCTATGGTATTAGTTCGATCTTCGTTGTCGCGCGACAAGCTATCGCTCAGTCGACGTAGTGAGTTTGTTGGCGGGATCGGCACGTTTTGCTTATCTGTTCCGGTATTTTACTACATAACTGATGGCATATTGTTGTCGTCGATATATAGGCGTTGAGCAATCTTCGAAAATGGGTCGTTTTAGTTTATACTTTTCGTATCGTTCTCATCCTTAATGAATTGTTATTGGTCTGTGTCTATGTACAATTCGTTCAACTTCGACGAAGTATGTTGACTTTATCTCTGTTTTGTGACATTCGGCCACCCTTATTGAAGTATTCTTTCATATCTATAGGAGACAGAGCTGTTATCTCGAACCAGCGGCGATCGTGAGTCCGCATAGTTGTAAGTGATAGGGCCACATTGCTGTACAGAGGCTGGGCGTGGCTGCAGCTGTTGCTGCGCGATTTCGTTGAGCCCCGAATGCGTCAGCGTTCTTGGTTCGCGATTGTAAAAGCGTCTCTGCCGGCGATGCCATAGTCGCCGTTCTGGTCTCTGTTTGGTCTTTCTTGTCTTTGATCCTTTTCTGCTATCATTTTTCACCTTCTAATTGTTTGTTTGCTTCCTCAAGTGCTTTATTCTATCTACTGGTGCTACTGTTTGTGTGGCATGTGGAGTCATCCTCTGTACGTAGTTAGTTTCATTGGTTTTCTTTGTTTGTCACTACGTGATGAACATACAAGTGTCTATGATGACAGTCCGTTGAGGCTGCTGATTCATATCGCTATACTCCAGTGACTGTTATTTGTTGCTATGTTATTTTTGCTTTGCTTTACTTTGTTTTTCTTTTTTTGCTGTTGTTGGAAGCCGAGAATGAGTCCGCTATGTTTGCGTCTGAGGTGTCGCGTGCCGGATGACGGGAGTCCAAGGGCGTCAAGCAGGTACGTCGGACGGTCCAGCTGTTGACTACTGCTATCGCCTTTTCTAAATGCATTCTTCGATATCGAGAAGATGTCGCTTACCAAATTCCTTAATGCTCGCTAACTTTCTTGTGTTCAGGTTACATACATATAGGTTACTTCATTCTGAACTCTTTCTTTCTCTGTCAGTTCCGTAATCCAGCATTCAGCGTGAACTCATCTTCATGATAGAGTGCAGCAGAGTAGAAGCTTATCTGTTCGTTCAATCATTATAGTAATAATTGATTCGGAACCTTTGTAGGTATGTTTGTCCTGAAATACTTTTTTGCAAAAGTAAGGTCTGCATGGTATACGACGCTCGGTCCCTACGAGGAAGAAATGTCTGTAATACGTGCGCGATTGGTATGCTCTTATTCTGTACGACTGTGAACATGCTTCCTTGCACATAAATGGGCTAAAATTGGCGGCCATGCTACGTTTAGTGCTCTGGCAAGAGTTAACGGAACATCAACATTCTTTAACTCAGGTGGTGTGGCAGAGAGGGTTCCCGGCTAGCTTTTTTTTTGTTTTATCGTATCCGTTCTCCGTAGTCATCGAGCTAATTATCCGGAGCACTCGAGACTAGTCTAAAAGCAACCCGCCTCATCCACATCAATACAGTGATCATTCCATATGGCAATAGCGTTACTCGCATGCACATCTCTTCTGTTGATCAGACCAGTACAGCTGTCTGATACTGTTGCTGCGTTTCCTGATTTGATTTCTTCAGCGTCTCCGTTTTCATTTTACCCCAACTCTGCTGTCGCTTGTGTGTGCTACTGGTTTTAACTGGACGATCATATCCGAAAAGTCGGCCCCCCGGAACTCTGGGCAGCACAACGAGGCGCTCGTGCGCGCTGCCTCTTTTGCCTTGGCCTGAACGGTCGCTGAGGCAGTGCCAACTGCCCTATACTGCGGTCCATTCAGATCGTATAAGTCTTCCGCAATTTCAATAACGTTTGAACGTAATGGTCATCCAAGAGGTTAGTGATTGTTTTCAAATCCTGTTGTTGCCGGAAGTCTGATAGCCCCGACGCCGGGATTCTGCTTGCAGATGCTTGAATTATTGTTACTGTTCAGACCGGACGCACGTGCCAATAGCTCCAATGCGAGCTTTTCGTTATACTCGCTTAATGGCAGAGGTGCTCCGCCGTCCGGCTGTATCGCGTACACTCAGAAGTCCGACGTAAACGAGGGCAATGTCGAGATGCCGTATCGGTTGGAGAGATTGTTAGCGTCGACGGTGTCAAGCTCGGGCGTTTGCCTCGAGCTACGCACGGGCATCGTTGAGCTTCTACACGAGACCGCGAACTTCAATTGCTTCAGCATTTCTGAGCAAATCGAGACCTGTCAAGAGCACCACGAAATGAGAACAGACGTGTATAAATATATATATATATATATAGGATATAAATATGTATAAATAAATTCTCTTTCCTTTATATATATAAAGGAAAGAGGACGCATAACTAAAAGAACAATATGTTATGGGATCGGTTAAAACTTGCAAAAGGTGATAGTGGCGACAAGTGGTAAAATGGCAGGCATGTATAGCATAGGCAAATGTCTGTGTTTTTCTTCGTACAGAATCCACTAGGCAGTCTAGTTGGTAGATGGCTTGGTAATTGAGTGAATCGACGGCCATGTTGAAACCGTTTTCACTGACGAGTTATATATGATAAGTCGGTTAATTCCATTCGACGCAGTCATAGTTTACGTGCGTGTAGCATGTGATGTTTTCGACAAATAAATAAGATTAACAATTTTCCATGACGCTGATAATGAAGCTTACCTTGTCTTCCTTTGAGAGGGACCTCGCCTTCCACAAGAACTCGGCAATGCCTACCAACGCTGCCAGTAACAAACCGAGTAGAAGGACAACGAAGACGCCGCCTACGTTGGCTAAGCTAAGTTCGGTGACTGCCGATGATTTCTTGGTATCGTCGGTGCATTTGCCTCCTCCTTTGCGCTCCTTCCACCATTTCTCCTTGAAGCTGTGCAATTTTCCTGCCTCCTGCAGTTGCAGGATGCCCGACGATAGCACTTGTCTGCAACATACGAGATTGGAGCAGCAAAGTGGACACGTGCGAAAAAAAATTAGCATTGAAATAATAGTAGCAGCAGCAAGGGCAACAGCAGGACACAGACGAACTAGCAAAAGGACAGAACCCTGACATGCAGAAGACCACAGATTAAAACCTAGGGACAGAGTTGCTGGACACACCAATCTTCACGTATAGATAATAGTAGCTTTATTCCTAACGTCGTGTGCGGCCACTGGACTGTCAAAGTACATCACAGCGCGACAGCCTATAACCAGTCTTAGAAATTGATTTCGTCAACGAGGAAGTTTTCATCCTTTTCGACTGAAAATCTCATTTGGAAGGTAGGAAAAACTAGGCCAAGCGTCTGCCTAGTTTTGACGACCGAGTGCGACGACCAGCAGCTCTCATTCCTTCCCAGCGGAGCTGTAAAGTCGTGAAATGAAGAGGGGCTATAGTGGGTCGCCGTGGCTACTCTACAACCGCCACCCTCCTCAGGCGACAGATTTTCTTCACCCTATAACCAATCCCGTCCCTAGGGGGCCGTCAGTATGCTTAGGTTTTGTGCGCTGTTAGCTGGCCGCCTTGGTAATGGCTGGCGAAATCGAGGCTAACTGGGTGGGAAAGAGCTGGTGGCTGTTCTGAAAGCCAGGCAGTATCCCTCTTCTCCTTTCTGTGGGGGTTCGGGGGGGGGGGGGGGGGAGAACGTAGGAAGAGCAGTTGTTGTAACATCAACGAACAAACTGGTGAAGAAAAAGATGACGAAGAAGGAATAAGGTTACTGGCCAGCTCGACGATGAGCGATATAAGTATTGGTTTTGAATCGAAATGTGGAAGAAAGCGACTCAATATTACTTCCTAGAAGTTCACCCACATAAACTCTGAAAACAACGATGAGTGAAACTATACGATTTTTTATCGGAATCACTTTAGGCTTTTTTTTTTTGTCAAAATACATATGAAAAAAGGATTATTTGTATATGGATGCACAACATTTATAGGTGGATGATGGTTCAGATTAACAGTTATTTGTTACACATAATAACTCGCTCCGTTCGTCTGACTTGTACCTATATAAAGGTCAAGTCGGCAAAAGCATAACGGTTAAATATTTAGCTATGTTTTCTAAAACTATACTTAGCTAACCAGGCACAGCTTAGTGAACGTACTCATACTGCTTGTTGGCCTTAGGTTATTTAATTATTGATGTACCTAAGCAGTATAATACTAAGTTATATAAGGACAATTTCGCTCCTTCAGCCTATAAAGATTAATACAGATCAGTTAGTAAACCGACCTGAATGGCGAGTTCTTTACGGTGACAATGCCGTATCCTTTATTGTCGAGCAAACTTCCAATCTGGGTTAGGTTACAGTTTCTCTCGACGAGGAACTCGATCGAGGCAGATTCCATGAGGAACGCATAGTCGCTACGGATAAAAAAGTTTGTAAAAAATGCTTGGATCTGTATTGGCATACATATACGATATAAATTTTAACATTATTTGTCTAGTAATACAGAAAGGTTGACATCAAAGCTTTACCATAACAACAGTTATTTTGAGATCTTTATTTGTCCTTAATATAAGATCATCTGATATGCTTACCTTTTTTTTCATTTATATATATATATATATATATATAAACAGTAAACGTTAATACCACCTAAAAGGCTACCTGTTTATCGTGCTAATGGTACGCACATATAAAATACCACTGGCGAAATGCATATATAAAATACTACTGATGAAAAATATTTATAATTTTTATATTCCACAAGGAACACAATATATATTTTGCACATAGCTGCAGGCTCAATCAACCGCTGTAAAACTAGCTTAGACAGAAAGAGCAGATGTTCACCATGTATTGCTATTACGGCAAGCGGCTAGCAATACAATTCTGTTAAATCGATTTGTCCTGCTTTACCGCACATAAATGACACCAGATTGCTAATATTGACAGTACAAAAAAAACACATGAAAAGCTTCGCTTAAAATCGCAATGTAAGAGCTGCATATAGCACACACTAACCCATTGCTAACTCTTTGCTTTCCTTCGGCGGAGGTTGCGACATAGGTGTTGCGTTCCTCCATAAACTTGTGCATCTTCATAAATGTGGGGATCTTGGACTCCTTGAAGAAGGCTCGGGTGCTGCCGGATTTGACACAGCCATACTGGATCTTTGTTTGTTTGGCGAGGTCCTCGGCACTCTCGACTGGATAGACCGTTTTCTCGACGGTTAAAAAGGCGGCCAAATTGGCGGTGTACGATGAAATCATGATTAGTGTAAAAAAGTACCAGATACCCGCTACCGTACGGGTCGACATGGCCTTAGGAGCCAGGTCAGATCCCTGTTGCATGAGAGACCCTACAAGAGGCAGAAAAGGGAAAAGAAGAAGGCAAAATACACATAGTAACTAGAGTTAACAAAACGAGAAAAGACGCCAAGAGGAGCCCTCCTTTCTCAGGCATCAGTGGACGAATGATACCAATTGGAATATTGGTGGCAACATTCAGTTTAAGTAAACGAATAAGCGAAACCGCGCTACGAGAGACGAAAATCATCGGTAAACGAACTGAGAAGCATTGGAAAGCAATGGAGACTGTAGAGTCTCTTCGTTGCCAGTCAGGCAAATCCACCCCGAGGGCACGCCACACCTGTGTCCTGTTGCACATTGGTTGTCCCAACTAGCTCGTAGCTTTCAGTTCCGTCCTCTTTTGCGCACGGAAAACGAAAGTGTAGCGGGGCGCCGGTCCGCCTGGATACTATGCCCAGGCCCATTGTTGACTTATTGTATTACAAGCATAGCATATCGATCAGACAGGAACAAGCACCTAAGGACGCCCAGGGCTTTCGTCGCTTCATCTCGATAAAGGCCGGGATTTAGGCTTTGTGAACGTAGCGGTGGACGGTGAACTGTAGCCGTAGTTACAGTCCAACAATACGAAACAAAATAATGAAAACGAGTAAGTAAGTGAGTGTTTGTGTGTCTGTGTCTGTGTATGTGTATGTATAAGTGAGCTTTTTGTAGCAGAAGGTGAAGGGCTGACGGAACGGATAGGAGATAACCGATCTGTAAATGGAAATGTAGAAATATAAGAGTGACACTGATACGAACCGATAGTGAACCACATGGAGTTGAGTAGTGAAAAGCTGTTTTCGAGAACCTGGTCATTTTGGCGGCAGGGATGAGGATTGTCCCACTCGTAGGGCGACATGCGACCGACCAGGAAAAGCACGCATGATACCCCCAGGTATGCGCCCACCACGTATGTCCAGACCTCTGTAGAAAACGGCGACAGAAAACCGAACAATGAGGTGGCCTTTTGAGTAGGTTTTTTAAATAGAATCGAGATGCCGGTGTTCATGAACGGCATCGTGAAGTCCACTGCTGCCTCTCGAGCTGACGTAATCGTCAAGTCGGCTATTGCAAGATCCGCCTGCAATATGACATCATAAAAATGACAAAGCCAAGATAACCACCAGTGTCATTACGGAACGATTCAATTGCAAAAGTAGATCAGAATGCTTTTCTTCTTTTTGCTAAACGTCAAAGTCTTCTAGTGCTGCACCTCTAAAGTGAGTAAAGGGACGGATACTTTGAGCAAATTACAAATTCAAATTAAATTATATTGGCCCTGATAAAACGTCACTATGTGGTGGGCTAAAATTAAAAACCTTAACAATCTGAAAGAATTTCCAAATCTTAATTGAATATTGAGTAAATATCTATTCGTTATGACACATTCTACTACCCGTCATTGAGGTACCTAAAATTATTATATACCTGCAGATCCATATTAGCGTCGTAAAAAGACTCGTCTAAAGCATGGGATTATTCCTATTACCGTGTAAATTTGGACCTTGAGAAAATTACATACGCGATTTACTATTAACGAGTTTAAATAGAATGTTGATTCAGCCTAAATATTTTCCGTATCGAATATTCTAGAACGACAGATTTGTAATACCATATTTGCAAGCGTCAACTTGACCTTGAATAGAATAGGACATTTTTGCAGTGATCTTCTACATTTCGATCAGAAAATATCTAGAAACGTTTACCACATAAAAACAGAGCAGAAAATGAGTTTATTCAGATCCACAAGCATTACGCATGTTTTCCTCTTCGGCTCGAAAGTAGCAGACGAACCTTTCCGTAGACGACCTCTCCTATCATTCCGTTCCAGACACCGGTGTCGCTTTTTATGCCGTATGCACCATCAGCTGCCAGCCGGATCTCGTATGAGAATCCAAGGTCCTTGCTTAGTTCCTGCAGTAGATCGACGCAATAACCTTCGAAGCGCTCGTTGCCAGTTAGGAACTTGGCAGACTCCTTCAGCATCATGTACGGGTCCGTCTGAAACGTGTGAAATAAAATAATTTGACTATATCTACTAACAAGCGCAGCTAGATATGCTATTTATAAGAAATGAACTTTACGAACACTTACCGAAAAATGAATAAACAGTTACTCTAAAAAATGAATCTTTGCTTTCTTTTTCGAAAGCCACGTCCGAGGCACTTTTAATAACGTTATTCAATTTGGAGTGAGCTTAGCACATGGTCATGTAACAGCGTAAACATAATCATCAGTTGATAGGCCCGCGTAACTCTGCTGTAACTTATAGGGAGAACGCTTCTGTGTAGCGAACGCAGTACAGAAAAAAATAATCGCGGTAGATCTAGCCGTTGCAATAAATTTTGTTTCGCCCAAAGAGCCCACCGACTCCGATCAAATCTGTCATTACCTATAAGAGTTTCAAAAACGGATAGTTGAAGCTGACTGATGCTGATTTCACTTGCCAAAAAAAAAGAGGCGAAAATTATGAAATTTTGAATTTCAATGAAAGCAGAGCGAAACGAAAACTTCTGCTTAGAGGTTAGTTAATTATTAGTATTTTTGAACTGGTCAAACGGCGGCAACGCAGTGGTGTCATAAGTAATCAGGTGTCTGGATGAATTTTGATGAAAAATGTTTGTAAGGCATTGGGCATTTTCGTTGGTTTTGGAAGTAACTACTACACTACAATAAGCATAAAAGAAAAATTTCAACATCAGTAAAATTATATCCCGATAGATAGCTAATTACAATTAAATCACTGTTAATGAAGGCTGTTCAGTAAATCTAGAACGCTATAAAGCCAAATGAATTGATCAGGCGAAACGTACAGCCAAACCTTTTTAAAGGACACATAAATGGTCATCTGCCCACTTCGCTTCGCTGTCGTGATCCAAATTGCTCGAATCGACGTCCTATACTGGAAAGGAGTTTATAGTTTTCGGCCTGATGTACTGCGGTGCTGCAACGGGGGATATTGGATAAAGCAAAAGCCGACTGTTGCGATTTGTGGTAGAACCGCCCAGACTGGCAAGTGAAACGTTTGTGTCTATAGAAACAGATTTACCTAGGAAAAAGGAAAAGCGGTGTCCAAAGACGAAACCTCCTAAAGAGAGGCAACCTTCTCTAGAAGAAAGTTTAGTCGCTGATTTTCCTCCGAGTGGGAAAAATCATCGGCACCGTCTGTTGTAGCCATAACCAATAGCCGAATAAGGCGAAGCGGGCTACGTTTTATTGTGACAAAGTGGAGAAAGGTTTAGCAGCAGGCTCCTTTTGGGAGTATGGATCGTGCCTACAGTGTAGTTTTTAACAGTCCATCGAAGACGCGTTTCCCACCACTAGACCACAGCGGCTCCCCGCCAGCTCCGCCCGCCAGCAAACGCGGCGCGCTGCCAAGAATAGCCAGACTTGAGGTTCTTGCCTGTCCCCTATGAGGTCTAAGTGGAAGGGTGAAGATCCACAGACAAAAGGATGGCTACTTCTAGTGACCGTTAGTTTCGATTGTTGTCCCATAGGCGGTCGTTGGGGTGGTTTCCTATGGATACGATAAGTTGCGGGAAGGCAAGCTTATTAGCTAGTGACGAACATGATCAAAGCAGTGAAAAAGTCGCTCATGGGGTCGACGTGGGGGGAGATCGAACGCAGTGATCAGCACTGAAGCTAAGTAGAATTTATCGGCCAAGCAGACTTTGTTGTCGTTTGCCTCAACCGGGAAGTTGGCGTTAGCTCGGCGAACATCGGTAGAAATTCTGCGCTATATTAACGTGAAGTAAAGCTAAGGAAGAACGATAGGCAGAGAAAGCAACAACTCGACACGCACACGACACATCTACACATACGCCATACCGTGGTACGCGCGTTTCTGCTAAAGGTCCTCTGCTAAAGAGAAATTCTGTGAGGTATTTGATGCTTGGTTTGGTACTTCACTTACTCGAAGTAAAGAAAAGCTTGAAACAATCGTTTTTTCCGATCGGAATTCGTCGTATTTCGCTTATCACAAAAGATATCAATAATAATTTAGCCTTACATAAGATCCAACGTAACTTAAGCTTTGATTCAGAATTCGTGTTAGTGCTTGTTAGAACTAAACATCGATAACAAAATTGAACAATAAACTTCGCTACGACGGTCTCGATTGTTGTTGGAAAATCCCTAACGTCTGAATAAGTTCATATAAATACTGTCTTTGCTTGATCAGATAAATTCAAACAAAATGCAGTTATATTTAAAAAGGTTCATAAAAAATGTAAACATATCATTCGTATGTATTGCACTTACGTGTACTTACATGCTTTGCTATATATGGGCCATTTGATCAGGGAGACAGACTTTATAGCGAGGATTAGCTTTAGACGATAGAATTAAACGTCCTTGTGAGAATTACGCCATTTCTATACAACCTTAGTTAAAGAAACCGTTTCAAGGTAGTTTCAAAAACCGTCGTAGGGTTTCATTCTTTGTCTTCGGTCTCGTGTGCGTGATGACTTTCGAAGTGAAAAAAGTTAGGTAACAGCTACGAATGGAATTATGCAAATAAACGAGAACGAGTACTATTTTCGGTAATAACTCCTAGAGCACGAAGGTACTAAAGCTATTTTTGAGAACGCATGGCATCGCTCCTAAATAGGAAGGTTCCATAGGAGAAGAATGATAGTTGTTGGGAAAGAGCCAGTAGCACGTACGTAATCGCCAGACTATGTCCTTCTACTCTTGCACTGTTATTTTGTTGTTTTTTCTCAGCCCTACCTGAGTCCCCCTTCTCTTAACTGAATTCAGATACTCCGAAAACTATGCCTGTCTCAAGAAGAAAGATTGTTTCCATCGTATTCCCTGTGTCCCGCTTTACAAACAGCTATTGCGTATCTACTTCTGACAGACTCTGTCTGTCTTACGGACTTCTCAAACTGGCTGTCGTTCTATCTCGCTCGAAGACCCTCTTCGGACTTCGATTCTGCCGACTACTGCTCGCCGCAATACAAAGTGCAGACTACACAAAGCATCATGTTCACTCAAAGCCGGGCGTCCGTCCCGTAGCCCATGTTCCTTCGTCCCGTATTTTAGGTGCTTCTGTTCGATTCACCCCAGATGTCTTTCTTACTCGGACTCCACCCTCGCCATTGTCTCCTGCTTTGCGTCAGCCCTTCTACAATGGCTTGGCCTGAATGAGTGCCCAGCCTTGTCAGTGACAAACGCTGCGTAACTCTAACGCTGCTGCTTGTGTCGTTGAAGCAGCAGGGCGTCCCCTTTTACCCTCCTCCCGTCCCCGCTCCCGATGCACAGTACATGCCGGACATGCCTTTCTCTTACCATCATTCCTACCACTATAACTACCGTCGTACAACAACGTCATGCCGCTGCCGCTGCCATCACCGCTATTGCGCTCCACCAGCGCTCACAGCATTCACAAACGGCCCGGACGGAACAGGACGTCACTGCCTTTACTTCCTTCTTATGCTTTTCCCCATCGCTGCAAGCGCGTTTGCTTCCCCAGTTGTCGTCCGTGGCCGTTACGGCTCACTCACTTAGAGAACAGACTAATATGAACAGACAACGAGCAGGCGATGGCCTGCAGTAGGAAGACCATAGCCACGGACAAAGGGCACGACTTCTGCAGCTGCGGCACCGCTTCAACATATTTCAGTGGCTTGTACCGAATAGAATCTTCAGCGCCTTATCGCTGTTGGTTAACTGTAAGCCTGCAAGGGAAAGCTCGCTCGTCTCTTAGAGTAACCTCCTAATTTACCGAACGGCCAACGCTGAGGACCACGGAGCTATGTGGGCCGCGGAGGTTCCTGAGAAGTGGTCGATTTTAAGGAGAACAGCGGCAGCAATAGCGGCAGTGGAAAATGAGTCAGATCTAGTCATAGGCAGGGCAATGGACCAGGAGGATTTTTCGGGTTCAGGAAGGGCTTAGAGAAACACGTAGGAGAGATCAAAGGGTACGCCTAAGGTCGAGCCGAGCAATGATTAATCGTATCCATCTCTATCTTTCGAGCTCCGGTTTCGCCTGATCAGCAGTAGCAGACCACATTCGTTCGTTCGATCTTATAGTTGGCCTGTCTGCCTTTCAGTACAACTGGTGCAGCAGAATTTAATGCTGCTAACAGCCGATTTGCGCTAGCTGGGCCGAATCTTACTTAGAGTTTGCGAGTCAAGTAACTACGGAACAACGGCAACCATCGAAAAAAAACGTTTTACGACAAGTGGCATAAGAATGATAGAATGAAGCAAACTATTTGAATGACGTTCACAACCGACCTGATCGACCGATCCTTTCGCCAGCGGATAAGAGAAAAGGAAAGAGTTGTAGTAATGAGTTAGGTCGAGTTCCTGCACCTCGTAAGCCCAATGAAGAAAAATTCAAACGCGGCGCGTTCTCGGTAAACTGACATAATAACATTCCTATCGTCGGCCGCTTCGAGTCTATTAAATCGAAATGCAGAGGGTAAAATCGATACGCCGATACCGATTGTCCTGACATTTCGCAGTAGGTTAAAAAAAAAAAATAGACAAAATGAAAAACAAACAGGAAGCCAACCATCTCGTCTGTGGACAATGCTATTCAGTTGATACGCCAAACGACGGTAGAGACGGCTTACTCCTATGGTAGAGGGTGTGCAGTCGTGCATATGAGTTATGCGTAGTGGCAGATTACTTACCGTGCATAATATGGACCTTGTGCAATTGTCCTACTAATAACATTACTAGAACTACTGACTCATTCGTTTATCAAGGTAACAGAATTAATCAGCTCATGCTCCGAATCCAATGACACCGTAATTCTAATGTTTACTATTTACTAATACAATCGCTCACACAATACATTTTGACACTTGAGAGGCCGGCAACTAAAGAAATCCGTAGACTGTATTTGATGATCGCCGGGTTGAAATTATTTAGCAGAACTAGCGAAAGGATGCAGCTGTCGGTATTAGAAGGCGTGACAGGTAGTTTTCAGACAATGTCAAAAGATTTCGTCTGTTCCTCTATTATAGAGTTGCAGGAAGCACATTATATCC